CAGACATTTTCGAGAACATCATTTTTCAATATTCTACTATAAATTCTTCCTCTATAAAACTTAAATTATTATTCTTATCTGTCGTCAAGCTATTCATTTTTACGAGAATATATTGACTTCTGCCATGGCTAAAATAAAATTACTGAAGCTCATAAACAATAATTGCCCAGAGGATACTACGTGCCATCAAAAAGGGGAGGGAGACATTCTGGCTATTAGTAACGTTCTATGGAACAGCCTGTATCTTGTATTGAAATAATCGCCTTTTCAGACTATATAGCTATTTTACTATTTGTTAAATAGTATTGCATAGATTCAGTTCTCGAATATCTCATGATGAACTTGAGCTGACCAGAGTGCTTGGATTACATTGTTTAATCTGTATCGAATGTTTCATCGTTGTGAATGTCAGCTTTCTTAAATGATATTCCGATATCTGTGGTAGAACACGTCGAACATGTGTTCGACACCGGACTGGAGTTTCTGGCTATGATTCTTGCATGATTCAGTCGTCCACCTGCCGTGCTGGCTACGTTACACCGACCTACGTACATCATGAATTCTCATTAACTTTTGTCCAGAAGACCCATCCGTTTGCCAACGTCGCTGCTATTAAAAAACGAAAGCATGCATTTGATAAACTGGAATGTCATTTTGATAGTGACGGTAAGTCAAATTAATAAAATTAAATCAACTGATATTTTTCCTTCGTAATATTTCCAACTAGTACACTTCGCTATTACTTACTATTAACCCTTTCGCTACGGACACCGACTATAGTCGGTACAGTGTGTACGGGTGCCGACTATAATCGGCGTCCGAATATCTTTTGAATCTAATAGCTCGTACTGAACTAAATCCTGCATATTTTACATACGAAATAAGAATCTTCAATTTTTTTCTATTGGATGGTAAATAAACAATACAATACAATACAACAATACAATACAAGTATTTGTAAGGCACAAAACTATAATAGAAAACAAGGATTATAATATAAAGTATCTAAAAAAAAAAATATAAAGTGATCCCGCGGAACGGACTGCCGTAGCGAAAGGGTTAAAATATGTATGGTATTTAGTGTTTCATCATATGACGTATTCTAGTGAACTAAAATATTCCTTAGGGCTTAGATCCTTCTTGCATTTTCTAACCCTTTATTAATTTTATTATTCATCATATTTAAATCGGATTTGCAATATCAAGCTCTAATTCTTCCGGCGTTATTTTGACGGACCTTGATACATCCTTTTCTTTTTCATTAAAAACGGACATACATTCAAAGATCTGTCAATTTGACGCTGGGTGTGATCCTATCTTAAAATTTCTATAATTCTCACGAAACTTCTTCATTCATACAAGTAAAACAATTTTCGATTCGATTACCGCAGTTTACATTGATTTCCACGGGCATCGATTCGCTGTCGAAGAAAAACCTTGCTCAGCTGCCAGACCAACTTCAGAGGCATTACACCTCGGTATCAAACCAATCGTTCAACGTTCCATCGTATTGGGAGCACATTTTGCGGGAGTTCGTGTTCAAAACAATATCGCCGCCTCCACCAGGCAACAATCGACTCTATAAAAGTCTGTTGGAGGCGCCGTTCTACGCGGGCCCGGTTCCGGTAGTCGCCAAAGACGCCAGCAGCGTCGTGCTGTCGCGGGGCGACGTTTATTACCAGCCGAACGATCGTTGGTTGTTTTGTCAACAGGGGTGCAAAGATTGCGATGCGTGTCTCGAACAGACACACCCGGTGGTCAAGTGGGTGCTAAGGAGGATCAAAAGAGTCTCGTCCTACGGATCGAATAGACATGATCTTCAATTGACGATCGTGCCACAAATAGACGGTAGCTACCACATGAGGACATTGTGGCCACAATCGTACATCTACGTGACCTCGCAAGGAGAACAGGATGAGTACTTGAGTGATAGTTATCGTAATGATAGAACCGCTTACGTCGCGGTCGAGGACGATTTGCCTGGACCGCAGAAGAAATCTAGCAATTTTTGGACGTACACGGACAAGGATTCGTTACCCGACAAACAAACAATGGACAAGTTGGACTTTAAGGGACGTACGAAGGCTGATAAAGAAGATATTGCAAGTACGACTGTGATGTCTGAAAAAGAGGAACAGGGAAACGAGACGAAGAATGTCCCGGTTCGACAACCTCAAGTGAAATCCGAGAAGCAGAATTCAACGTCAACGGATGCAGTTAGATCAAGGGAGAACGGGAGAGTAAAACACTTGATACCAAAGTTGATCCTTGGGACTGATCAAACGGGACAGAAGCATTTGGTGCACGTGGTACCTGCCGACACGCCGATCAACTCGAGCTTAATGAACTCCCTCATATCGAATGCGTTGAGTTCGGCCGGGCAGAATAAAACCGCCTATCAACGCATACTTCGTAGGATATTCGATTCTTTAAACAGCAATAGACGGTCTATCGAAACATTCCTGGAGCCTTTGACTTCGATGGGTAATTAAAAATTTACTGATTTTGATAATTAGTGGGGATAGAGTTTCGTAGAAAGGATTATTCGAATTCCTTTATGAAGAAGATTAAATTGCATTATGGGAATTGTCTTTTTTATGCTTAGGGAAAGCGAGTCAACAAGCCGAAGAGCATCAGCTACAGGAAACGAGGGGTGGTTTTCCAGGATGGAGGCAAGCTGGTTTTTATCCTGTACGCAACAAGGGAAGTCACAATGAATCTTCGTTTCAAAAACGATGGCCTTATACTATAAACTGGAGCAAACTACGTAGTACTTCGAACAATAGTGAATATCCTTATAAGATAATAAATAATAATGATAGTTTTGTTACACTGAATAACAGTTTCATTTTGTATCCGAATGGAGGAAATAATTTTGTGAAAGACAAGCGTGATAGATTTAAATCTGGATTGACCATGCTCAATAATACGTTTAAAAATAATTTCCAGGGAAATAATATCACTCGGAAAACATTAATAAGTACTGAATCAATAAAATCATGAGTCATTTAGCTTTTTTTATAATACACAAGAATTCGATTAGTAATTTGATAATAATTCATATTATAATGTAAGTTGTGTATATACATACGTCAGGAAATCTATTATCAATATGTATATAAGATATAATACATCTTTTAGTGGATTTACAATAAACTAAAATTTGTTTTTCTGCAAACAAAAATTCATCATATATACAGTTATTTACATTATTTACAATCTTACCTGCAAACAAAAAACGACAATTAAAGTTTATTATTGTCATCTCTTTATTTTGTCTATAATTAATTTTTGTCCTGCTCTTTTCCACTAACACGTGTTCGACTGTCTATCTATCTCTTTTTAATGACCTTATTAGTCATTCTCTATGATGAGAGCTACACAAAGACCGCGCGGAGTGCGACAATCTTAAATTAAAGGAAATACAGTACTTTTACTTAAGAAGAATACTTCACGTTCTATATCCTCCATTTGATTAATTAAAGCAACCTGAATATCCGATAAAATAAAATTCCTAAGCCGAAGACACCTGCCCTTTACTCTAAATACACAGTGATAAAACAAGCTATGCTAGTTGGTCGTGGTATTTAACGTCGCTTAAACAGCGTAAGCCCGCGGGTGCGGATAGCACCATCGCTGGCACCGCTAAGAGGATCGACGATCCTTAATCAGACCTGGCGCGATCGTTTAAAACGATTATAACCCTTCCTTGTCCCACGGTCGCATCAGTCCCGCGCATTAGTTGAGGGGGTGATTCTCTCTGGCTCGTGTGACCTTCGCAAGCGTGCTCTCGACAACCCTCTCTCGTCGTACGTAATTGTATGCCGTATAGATAGGTACTCGTGTGTACTCCGTAACAAACATTGTAGGTATTACCGTACCCTCGTTGCGTGTGTACACGCGTTTGCAGAGAGATTCGTGCTTGCTGAATTTGTCGAGTGTTACGTAGTCGATGGAAGAAATTTAACGAAAGAATGAATGTTCACTTTTGTAAAGAGATTTGCCCTTTATCTTCCCTCTTCATTATCCCAGTTAAACTCGGTAATTTCGAATGTCTTGCTTCAAGATTACCGGACAGTCGGAGGTATTTTACAAATCCCTTTAATTCTTACCGTCTCGCCTTTCGGTCTTCTCGCGAACTTCACTGTTAGAGGCAAACCCTGATCTCTCTGTACTAATTATACGGTTCGAAATTTTTTCTGTATCTGGCGAACAAGAAGAGCTTTCACAATAGTATTTTCAAAATGGAGAAGAATTGCGGGCAAACGAGGTGCGTAAGGAATCAAACCATGGTAAGGATCGAGGAACGGGTGTAAGCCGGCGTTGATATTTAATTAAGGAGGATACGGGCTCGAGCGGAGAAAATGTCAGATGGCACAGGCTCGGAGAAACTCTCTCCTGCTATGAAAAGAGAAAGAGAAAGATGAACAGGTCTGTGTTTCTTGTCTAATTATCTACCCCTCGCGTCTTGCCAGCTGCATTCACTTTCTATGTCTACCATGTGCCACGCGATTTTGTCCCTTCTCTCTCCGTTCATTCCTATTTCTTCAGTCCAACTTTTCCCGTTTTCTACCCGATTTCGTTACCCGGTAGTTTCTCGCTTTTACGTGACGTTAATTTTCTTCCGTTTCCTTACCCATTTCGTTTGCCCAATTCTTATTGACACTCAGAGACGATTTCAGACGTCGTGAAGGAGACAAGATTCTATTTCCCCAATTTCATCATCTTAGGAACTGCGAATCGCGAAGGAGAACCGTCTCGCTTCTCGTTGAAACTTTTTAATTAGATCCACCTCTTACGCCCGATTTTAAAACATTGTTTTGGTAATGGTGGGTCAATTTTATAATCCGTATTTACATCGCTTCGCTCGAACTGAATCTTTGCGGGGCGGAGGGAAATTTCAATTCGAAGACATTTCCCTTCTCTATTCCGCCCACCGTTCCTTTCGACCCTGTTCCTTTTTTCTGTCCCTCCCTCTTGGCAGCCTCTTACTCTCAGCCCCAGTTCATCCGCGGGCTTCCTCGAAACCGCGCGCGCACGCGGTGCAAAACGATCAATTCGATCGCCTCTGGATTGGTTTTAATGAGTTTCCTTTCAGCACGGTTTATCGAGAATTGCGGCTGCTTTCGTAGAGCCCCAGAAACCGAATACGCCGGGGAAATTTCGATGGAAGATCTTAATTAAAGACGCTCGGCTAAAAAATGGGTATCATCCCCGCCCTCCAACGATCCCCATCCTGCCGACAGATGAGTTTCAGACCGAGATTGGTATTATTGCTGCATCGACGCGACGAGGGACTTCTCTGTGCTATGATCGTCCTGTCCTCAATCTCATTAATGATTGTGTATATAATTCGGGAAACGGCCGCGCTCTAGCGATCGGTCGAGAATCGAGAGGCGCCGCAACGCGACGCTTCGCGCCGTTCCTTAATGGGATCGCTAACGAGATTCGATCAAGGAGAAAAGTGGCGTCGGTTGATTTTGAATAGAATCAGGGTCTTGTTTGACCGAGCTGAATGGTAATTACGAATTACTTTCTTCGACAAATTTTCCCTCTACTGGTTCGCGATTGTTTGTTAATAATTTGCGACTGGGATGATAGAGTTCGGATGGAAGCGCTCCTCTCGTACCAGATTCGACATTCCATAGAAATGATTCAGTCTTGCGAGTTTATGATAGAAGCATTTAATTGGCGACTATTTATAAATTATGTGAGATAGACTTCTGAGGTTTGTAATATTTCTTACCGTGTTGTTAGCAGGAAGATACATGATGAATTACGTAATACTTTAGGTTTTAACCTTATTCCTATGTATTATAGAAAATGTATGATACACCTATGAATCTTTTTTAATTACCTGTGGTAGAATTACTCAGATTTACTCTGGAATTCATAGACATGTGCAAACATGTACATGAATTAATATGTGTAGGGTGTAAATAAAGTGAAATTTTCAATGTTGATTAAACTCGAATGATAAAATTATAATTAACGTCAGTTTGTACAAATCAAATAAAAATTATTAATCAAATCAGTTAATTACCATTCCATGTACAATATCTGTTTTACATTTTATGATCGTTAAATTAACATTAATTAACAAATTTAATTAACAAATTTTTATAAAAATACTTATTTCATAAGATAAAGTGGATGCATGATGTAAAAATTATTACAGGTTTTCAGACAATGGAAATATGTATACTAATTAAAAACCGTCAAGATTACTCTTACAAAATTGATTATGCATTGTCTTCTCTAAATATAATTTATGATCTCATTTTATAAAACAAACTTTTGCAATGCTACATTAACTATTTTAGCTACTGAACTCCGTTTCATAAAAATTTTAGTTTTTATTTAGATGCTGCTTTTTCCGTATCGTAACATTGGATTTAATTGAATAAAGTAAACAGCTACAAATTCGATGAAATAATCCTGAAGCAACGTGAGTCTACTTTCACGCGCGCTTTGTTCCTATTACAGTAATTATTATTTACGCCTCAACTGTAAAGGGAAACAATGATGCGCGAGTCACGCGCGCAGACTCGAATTAGCTCTCTCGTAATTAAAGTATGTTTTTTCGCGGATAATGATACGGCTAGACGCACGTGGACCTGCAAAGTTAACAGGACAAATTATATTTAACCGACGGATCCTTCCTGTGGGAGAGTCACCGCATAGGCAGCGGTGAAATTACAAGTGACGATGCTTTTTTCGAATCATAAACGATCCCATACATGTTTCATGTTTGCTCGCAAATTTAATATTTAAATTTAATATTGACATGGCATATTTTGCGTGGAATAAATACGCATTCATGGAAATCTTGCTTAATTAACCTATGGTGTTTCCCTTTTTTCGCTTCGTGTCAACGATGTTAACGTTGAAAATTGTTTCCCGTCACCTCGTTTTTCATACGTCGTTCTTTTTCGGCTGCGGTTACAAACCAGCGACGTGCGAAATTATAAATTTCTGATTGTCTAATATTTAAAACACCACCGCTCGTTGTTTATACATAACTATGTCATACCTCGAAAATTCAAGGACATGTGTTATATCCCTATGTAAGAGCCACGCACATTTTCATTTGCCGTTTTCATAAAATACGCGCATATATGCTTCGTATAATTGTATTTTACATACGTTATGATAATATTCCAAATTTAGGGGCTAAATAATTCTTGTATTACTTTTAAGTATTGTTTTTAAAGGATAGAAGAAAATCTAGATTGCGGTTGTTAAATTGAAATTGTAAATGTTTTATTTGGAATAAAAAATTCTCAGTCTACTTATTATGGTTGAGCGAAAATTTTTTAAGATCGTGTCGACAACCAATTATGTCCTTTACCTTTGGCAAAGCTCTGAACGTTTTCGAATTCTGCACTTTGCACTCCGCCGCGTCGTGTACACACGGGGGAGTTCCCAAGCAAACCGGGATGCGAGGTGTTCCACCGGAAATGAGGGGACCGCGAAACGAAAAATAAATCGGTCGGAAAAGAGGAGAGGAGAGGCGTACGCCAAGGAGCACGGGCTTTTAACGGTAAGACCGTGAAGGTTTCCCAGGCTGGGTCCGATGGGAGATTGAAACGCTCCTGGACGCGTTCAAGGAAAACGAGAGAAATCGAGACCGACGGTAGATTCTCGAGACCACGCGAGCAAGCAGAGTGTACAGCAGAGGGAGGCTTGTCTGGAAGCGATGGAAAAGGCCGTTTTCCATTCTCAGATATTTAAATCCGTACCGAGAACCGAAATCCCGAAGACAGGGGGCGGGTGCTTGTCTGGAACAGTGTACCTTGAACGTTGCACTGAAAGCAACCCACCAAAGCGGAGAAAAAGAAACGGCGGAGGGTGGCAATGGGCGCGGCAGTTCGGAGGGAAGGAGAGGAGCTACTTGTTCGAGCGTAACGTGTATTCTTGTCAGAGTGAGGCCGAAAGACGTAGTGCTCAGACTTTCGGTAGCCTTTCGCGGAGGAGGACCGGTCGGAGAGGGCTGCTGGGAGGAAAGAAAAAAGCGGCGGGTGAGAGAAAATGGAGGATAGGAAAAAGAGGAAGGAACGAAGAGGAAAGAAGATTCGGAAG